TGAGAAACTCTAATTTGAGTGATTCTATAATGGAAGATGAAATTTAAAGGCAAGTAAACATTTTAAAATGTTGCAATTAATCCTGATTAATCTATCAACTATATATGTTATAAGCTTCTGTTAAGCAAACTATGAATTATCAAGGATCAGAAATATTCATAATAACAGGGCAGGGAAAATTTTCTGAAGGGATACTAATCAAGTCAATAAAAGTGTTCCTACAATATGAGGGAGACAGGTGAAATAGATGATATCAGGATAGAAATTAAGTAGAAAGAGAAGAATCTAGGAACTATTACTTTAGGCCACCTCCTCCTGACTTCTCTTCTCTTAGATTTCTGGCATGGATTATAAATTTGTGGTTAATTCAAATCTTAATTCAATGGGTGAAAAGTTATCCAAATATCAAGTAGAAGCTTTTGAAAGTTAAAAAATTCTTATTTTACTAACAAATACTTATAGCTTATTGTCTTGCAAAGTAAGGATTTCACCTTGATACATTTCCATTTGTGAAGCTGAGGGAAATTTGAGGCTAGCAAAATGTAGGGCATTGAGTTATGCCAGTAACCAAAGAACTTTTATGACTTTCTGCCCTTGCAATGTTCAATTAAATTGTTCTTGGAGTGATGGTATTCTAGTAAGAAATTGACTCCATTTTTCAATCAATTTTTAATGAATTCTTTAGAGAAGTGTGCTTCCAAGTGAAATCTGGGAAACTTTTGGCAAGAACATTTCTCTTTCCCTGATGGAAAAATTTCTTAAATGGTAGAGTAAAACTTCATTAGTTCAGGAAACAAAACAAAACAAAACAAAACCATATGAAATATGGGAAAATATACTAATGAGTATGCCAGACCACAGAAGGGAAAAGAATGAAAAGAAAAAAAAAGAGTGATCAGGAACTCAAATTTTGTAATTCCTAACAGATACTTGGATGTTTTGATAAACACATAACCATAATAAACACGTGGCATTAATGGTTTATGGAAAGAGAAATCTCGAAAATTGTGATCAAGATGAAGTTCCCTGCAAATTTTTATTGGAGACCTAGAACTGAAACCCTCCAAAAGACAGAACACAAATAGCTTATAAATTTATTAAAAGAGTTCTTTAAAGTTATATTGTTCCCATGAGGTGTAATTACAGCATCATCAGACTTGAAATGATCTTGGTTTCACATTCAGAGACACGACTTGTTCCTCTATATTCTGTAGAAATCTCACAAAGAATCATTAAAAAACTAAGTTTAAGTCTTAGCTTGAAAGAATCCCCTTTGGAAAAAGTTTAAGATCTCTGAGCAAGGGTTTCCTTTCCTAAAAGATGTCTTGAGGAGCAAATGACTGTGCATTTGAAGAACTTCTTTTTTTTATTCATTCTTGGAAATCATAGGGTGAAAAAAGAAGAGTAAAGGCTTTAACAGACAGGGATTTGAATCCTCTTCTTACATTTGCTTTTTACCTTAGGATAGTTATTCAAGGCCCCCAAAGTCTCAGTTTCTTCATCTATTAAATGGGGATGATAATTTATACACACAGTTAAAATATCCAGAGAATTGCTTAATAGGTTTGGGCACTTAACAAATTCCATCTTTTCTCCTTTGTCCATGGAGACCATATATACCACATGCTAAAACACTAAAGCTATATATAAAAGTCTAAGTTGCAAAATATATTCTTTAAAATAAAGCTCTTTAGGATTTCTGATAGACTTATGTGTTCATGCTCATCTGTGGCAAAATTAAAAATGGTAATTTTTACCTATAATACCCACAATAAAACTATCATGGAAATAAAATCTTCATTAAATAAAATACTTCTATAAAAATTTTATTTGAACATTCTTTTCATGTCTTGTTAGTTTTTGGCATTAAAGGAGGCTGGCATTAATCTTCTCTCTTCTGCTCTGTCTTCCTTTCATTATCCTCTCAAGAGTCTTCTCTTATTATCATAGCTAAATGAGGAGTTTACTGCCTTCCCTTCTCCAGTACTGAACATATATTATCACCTGGCACTTATCAACATAGTTCCTTTCAATGAATAGTTGAGAAGCATTAGATTGCACTATTACCCTAGAAATTTCTTTCATTAAAGACTTCTTCATATTCATTTGTTATATAATTAATTACTCAAAAACATTTGATCAATGTGCAAATTCTGCTGTGGTAATGGTTTGTGTTCACATCCTACAACTTTGGAATTTAATCTCTTACATCCCTCTATTTAAAAGGCATCGTCCAAATTTCCTTTTTTCCCTAAAGAAACTTTATTTAATGAGTAATAAATTTCATAAGTACAACTTTAGCAATATAGTGATTCTTCCCATCATACCTGCCCTCCCACTCCACTTGCAACTCACCTCCTCCTCCCTCTCCCATTCCGAGTCTTATTCTCCATTAAGAAAAAAAAAATGTGACAAGGGCTGTTCAAGTCATTGCTTCTCAAAATGTCAATATTTCATTTTGAAAAAATTATTATTCTTTAGATGCCACCACTTTAGATGTCAGGCCTTTAAAGCCAAAAACATATATCTTCTATATTTTTATATTTATTTCTTCCATTAGTCTTTTGAGTGTCAAATTAAGAAAAATGTCTACTGGATCAAGCAAATGTTATATAGAAGTCATGAAATTTAGGTTTTACAGATTTTATATATTAAGCAATGTCTCATATACATTCCTAAAGAACATATTTGAATTGACAAAAGGAAAAAGATGGAAAGCTAAGAATAATTGAGCATCTATTATAAGTATATGCAATGTAAAAACTATTTTATACTTGTCATCAATGCATATTTGTTTTCTTACTCGATAGAACTTAATACAGATTCAAAGAATGATATGGGCCATGAATAAGAGTTAATACAATTAATCTGTTAAAGTCACATTTACTATAACTCACCAAATTTTATCAACTGAATGATAAAAATATTTTCTAAACACAATTGATTTTTAGTTAAGTAGAATGGGAAGATACTTTTATATCTATCAGCAAAAATTATGTGCACTGCAACCATGTAAAGAAATAAAAAAGTTAATGTTTGTATTTTATTTTGCTGCATACTTGGCAAAGCTAATGCTTTGGAGCTTGACTTCAGAATCAGTGAGAAAATGAATAGATTCCTTCATCTGGAAAAATGTGGTTTATGGCCTCACTCTGGTTTCAGTATTTAGTGCCAGGTATCCATCACCTGGAGTGGAATATTATCTTGGTAAAATAGAACTTATTAATTATTCTCAAAAGAATACTCTGTCAGAACAGTGCTATTGTTAATGGAACTTTGATTTATTCGCCAAGTGCCAAGAATGTTTCCAAATATTCTGTTATCCTTCCCATCAGTTTAGGTTAGCCAGACATAGCATATGTGAGAAGTTATCTACATTTTTGAGCAATAAAACTGTGATGATGAAAGCTCTGCTTCCCTGTAGGTATCATCTAGTATTGGGAACCAAGTTTTTCTTGTTCTTTCCTTTTTATTGTGTAAGACTGGAGCACATTACTCCTGTGATACTTGCCAAAATTCTATGGCACTCTTGTTTAAGATTCACCATATGAGTCTTTGATCCCTACCCCTAGGTATCTTGGCTACCTGCCAGTTCTGTACTTATTGTTTAAATAATTTTGTTTTTGTTCTCTTTTCTGATTCTATCCATGTGGTCAGCATGAAGATTCTTAAATAATAATTTCTAGGACCAAAGAGAATCTCAAGATATTAACCTTTTACAACTGCACCTTTCTCATGCAAGTACTTGCCACATAAGCGGACTGACAGTCTACCTAGTTTCAAGGTGACAATTCTCTGGAACACAAACCCTTCTTTATTTTATTTTTGAGAGCACTTAAAACATAGGTAAAGCATAATCCTGTAATTTTCTGTGCCAATTTCACACATAAAAGAGATGAGAAGGATTATATAGTTTCTGTCCAGTTTTCTTGTTTGTGGATTAGTCAAGACATCAGAACAGCATTTTAGGATTCTCAGGCTCTCTGCCTTAAGGAATAGGAAATATAAAATGCACTCAAATTGTGGAATAAACCCAATAGTCAAAAATCTTGTAAGTAAATCTAGAGGAATGAGTTGATCTGAAATATCCCCCCACCTCCCCTCAAATAATGAAATCAGGAACATACCCAGAGGCTGAATGCCCCTGCCAAGATGCTAACAGGAAGTTACAGGCCATGGCAGCCAGAGATTTTAAGGCCATGTGAGGACAGGTGGCTAATTGAGCCATGAACATGAAATATTGGTCATAAAATGGTGCTCCATATGTGCAAGAGAGAAGCTCACCTGGATCTGTGAGTAGGAAATACGCCCCTGCAAGAAAACGGAATGCAAGGGCCATCCATGACTTTATGGTCAGATTCATAATCTCCTATGGTATGCTAAGATAAGATGTTAACATAAAATAAATCTTAGTGCTGTCAAACCAAACTCATTAATAAATCCTGGAGAGACAAAAGTGAAGCCATCCTTTAGGGATCTTTTAAATAACTTGGAAAAGAGTCTTGGGCTGCTGGGGCAACAAAATCTCTTCATCAAGCGAATTGCCAACCACACAAAGAAATATTGTACATTTGAAGCAAAACATCTTTATCACGTCCATCTGTCTCCATTTCCCCATAATTCCACTGGTAATACTCATTCTTTTTCAACACGGCATAAGCAATTCTCCAACCTCCAGGATTTGTTCAAAGTCCTCCTTGTCTTATATATTTTCTTTCTACAATGGTTATTTATTTATTTATTTATTTATTTATTTATTTTTACTGTAAACTGTCAATACAACTCAATGAGGACAGAGGTCCTGCATGGGGAGTTAGTGCACAGTGACTGTCCTTAACAATTAACATTCTTAGGTATGACGTCAGGGTATAATTTAATTTATTCAATTTGTGAATCAAATTTCACCCCCTCTAATGTTTAGTCAAATACCAGACCCTTTCTTTTAACCAGGTGAGGAGGCAGTCGTGAACGTCAGCACCAAGAGCTCCGCGCAGCGCAGAAAACGCGCCTGCCCCAGTGTCCTCCGGCTCTGTTAGGTTCCTCGCCTCTCCCAGTTCCCGGCATTCCCCGCGACCGCCGCAGGTGCCTCCAGGAGCCAGTACCCTGGGCGCGTCCCGCTCCCTGCCTCACTCCGCACCGCTGCCGTGCGCATCGCAGGGACCGCGCGCTCCAGAGCTGGCAGCTCCTCCGCGCGGTGCCCACCGCGCATTCTCCTCCAGGGTCCCTCCCGTCGCCGCCGGCCGCCCCAGGCCCCGCCATGGGGAACGTTCCGTCCGCGGTGAAGCACTGCCTCAGCTACCAGCAGCTTCTCCGGGAGCATCTCTGGATCGGGGATTCAGTGGCAGGGGCGCTCGACCCCGCGCAGGTACCACCTCGCGGCCCAGGGTGCCCCATCCTCTTGCCCTCTGCCAGGCGGCCTCTCTCTCATCAATCTCCTGGTGCCCTCTCTCCGCTTTGTGTCACCTCGGTGCTCCAAGGCCCTTTCTGCTGCTGTTTTGTCTTTTTAGGCCGCACTGCTTAAAAGGTCCCCTGTCCTGTCTCTGTGCAGGCAAAGTGTAGAATCGCTCCTACAGATCAGATCCAGGAAATCCTTACCTGTGACCATTCGCAAGTCTCCTAAGGAAAAAGGTTTCTTTCTGTGTGATTTTCTTGGAAAGGGTGTTTTATGTATCCATAGCCATTCCTTCAAGAATAGTGCTCTTATTCTCAGTTTCCTTCTTGTATGTATTGTGTAACAAAGAGGACGGATTTGTCAGTGCGAAGCAGCAAAAAGGCAAAAAGCTGACATAGTAGGCTGGGAACACATCGGTGGGATGAAATTATTCATCTGATTATTAATTGTCCCTAATAAGGTATTTATGCTTCAACAAACTTGAACACACTTGAAAAAAAATTATAAATAACAGTGTTTTAGACTGAAATTTATTCTCACATTATTCCTGAAAGCCCGTTGCAAAAACAATGGGAAACTTAATACTATCCATATACTTATGATTTAATGCACTCTCAACCAAAAGTATCAGATAAAGGAAAAAATATATATGAAGAAATTTACTTTTCCCTTGAAAATATTTAAAAGTTAACAAAATAATAAGTAACAGTGATATTATAATAATGTCAAAGAATGAACAAAGGGGAGGACATCAGGAGGGCTCAGCTTTTTTTAAATTGAAAGTGCTGGATGTATAACTACTTATTCCTGATATGTCTTGAGGACAACATAGTAACTTATAATAATTTACTATATGAGCATAACTTAATAATATGTGGTTTTAAATCAACTGTTCTAATATTGGGTGTTCATTTTCTTGTTAGGCATCCTCAGTTCAGTGTAGCAATATGCAAAATTGTAATCTAAGCTATACAAATTGAATATCTGCATTTGTGGACTTTTTCCAAATTAATTATTTAGTTTAATTAATCTATTTGAGAGTCATAGAAATAGAAAAAAACAGAGAGAGCTGCCATCTGCTGGTTCATTCACCAGAGGTAGGAACTCAATCCAGGTCTCCCATGTGGGTGGCAGGAAACCAATCACTTACACCATCATCATGGTCTCTCAATGTCTACATTAGCAAGGAGCTGTAGGCAGGGAATTGAGCCTTGTATTGAACCCACAAACTCTGGTGTGGGACATGGACATCTTAATGACTAGGCCTAAATGCTTGCCACTAGTGGACTCCTTATAAGAGATTTTAGTCCTACGGCTTCAAAGAAGGCCAGGGTCATTTAACTTACAACCTCTTGATGAGAATGGTAGATGAGGGATGGTACCTGTTATCTTCCACTATATTGATGTGTCTATTTTTCCTACTTTTTTTAAAGATTTATTTATTTGAGAGGTAGAGTTATAGGCAGAGAGAAGGAGAGACAGAGAGAAAGGTCTTCCAGCTGCTGGTTCACTCCATAAAGGCCACAACAGTTGGAGCTGGGCTGATCTGAAGCCAGGAGCCAGGTGCCAGGAGCCTCTTCTGGGTCTCCCACATGGGTGCAGGGCTCAAGGACTTGGACCATTCTCTGCTGCTTCCTCAGGCTATAGCAGAGAGCTGGATCAGAAGAGGAGAAACTGGGATTTGAACTGGTGGCCATATGGGATGCCAACGCCACCGGTGGCAGCTTTAACCACAGTGCTGCACCCCTACATTCTGTTTTGAACTTCCTGCTGTAAATTACCTTTTAACAGCTTTGACTTTCATGTTCAGTCTGTTATATAATCAGGAACACCAACTTTTATCTTCCAAATCTGAGATTTTTGATGACTTTTGTTGCTGGCTGATAATTGTTTCTCTCTCTTGGTGTTCTGATTTACACATATTTGGGCTTTGAGAACAGTATTAGAGGATAGACTTCTAGAGAACTACAGAGGGTTAGCTACTTTTCCTTTTTAAGATATGGAAGCAGAGTAATGAAAATTACTAGGATTACTGATCAAAGAATGTCAGGAATTGGTTTTGGAGACATGCCTCACTCTATTGAAGACTTTTTACTCATTCTAGAGAAATAGCCACACCTTCCCTGGATATTACCCTTATATGCCACAATTGTTGTGCCTGGGCATAATTCTTAATAGTGTTAATCCTGTAGAATTGTTATTTTTTATGATTTAGCTTATTTAAAATCACAAGGACCTTTGGTTCTTTGAAATGTATCCCCTTCCTGAACACACATTTGCTACATTCAGTCCTACTTCTGAGGTTACTCTGTCAGGCTGAGTGTCCTTTATCTGTCTGGTAAATGTCTGAGTTCCTCCTGTCTGTACCCCTAGACCATATCATCAGCATTTGCAAATTCAATTACTATTTGTGTACCACTGTCACCTAGATTTGTATTCCTGTTTCTTTTGGATTCAGTCTCAATGTCCCAACTCAATTGTTATCATCACCTGGATTTCTCAAAAGCAACTCAAACTTAATACTTTCAAATTCGCATTTCTGTCTACTCCTTCTAGTCCTGGACCTTCTTCAGTGTTTCCTATTTCAGGGAGTACTTCACAATCAGTTTAGTTCTTCAAGCCACTAACAAACAGCTCCATCCTTTTGTTACCCTTCATCCAAAGTGTCACTGAGTCCTACCAGTTTACTTCTACAATTTCCTTCCGATTCATTCATTTTTCTAACTTCTCTGCTACTACCAACTTAAAAATAGCATTAGGGGCTGACATTGTGGTGTGGCAGGTAGGGCGGCAGCCTGCAGTGCCAGCATCCCATGTGGGCGCTGGTTCGAGTCCTGGCTGCTCCTGTTCCGATCCAGCTCTCTGATGTGTCCTGGGCAAGCAGTGGAAATCCCGCTACAGGGATATACTTGGCTCCCTTGAGACATCGCCCCATGCCAGTGAAGGGTTATCTCGTCACCTCATGTCAGCAGGAAGTAGCTCTAAAGACAGTTCATTGTTCTCTACCCCTCCTAGACTTTTGGAACTAATGTAACCCTTACAACTCCTGCTTTATGAAAAACAAAAGGCGGAAATGCTAATAAAATGGCGCAGTCTTATCTAAGGCACGATCTGCACCCTGATATCATCCTAGGCTCTAGCTCCGGCTGCCATTGCTGGAAGCCAGGTGGCCACATGGCCCAACCACCGGTGTGAGCCCCACCCCCATCCTGATGGGATTCACTGCTCCTACTTCCCTGCCCGTCCCCTGGCAAAGTTTTAAAAGGAGCTATTCCTGAACACATGGCGCTCGCGCTCTCTCTCTCTCTCTCTCTCTCCCTTCTTCGCCCCTTCCAGTCTGTCGGGTTTCCCACAATAAACTCTTCCCTTTAAAAAAAAGAAAATGGTCCGAGTCCTTGGGACGCTGTATCCGTGTGGGAGACCTGGAAGAAGCTTCTGGCTTCAGATCGGTGCAGCTCTGGCCATTGCGGCCATCTGGGGAGTGAAGCAGCAAATGAAAGATCTCTCTCTCTCTCTCCCTCTCTCTCTCTCTCCCCTCTCTCTGTCTCTCTCTCTCTCTCTCTGCCTCTACCTCTTTGTGGCTCTGCCTTTCAAATAAATAAATAAATAAATAAATCTTTTTAAAAAATAGCATTTTATCTTATATGGAGCACTGGTCTGTTGCAGGAGTCTTGCTATTCTCCTTCAACTATATTCCTCTTCAACTCACTGTCTAGATAACTAGTTGGAAGATATTTATTTAAAATACAATTATGCAATTTCTGTTTCACAACCATCAGCAAATTCCCATTTCTTTTAACAATGGACACCAAAACTTAAGTTGTATTCTTTGAAGCCTCAAATAATCTTTTCATTATATTCCATCTGCTGGTTCATTCCCCAAATGCCTGCAATATCTAGAGCTCTAGTCCAGGCCACAGCCAAGAACCCAGAATTCCATCCTGGTTTCCTTCTTGAGTGGCAGGGATCAATATACGTGAGCCATTATTTGCAGTCTCCTAGGATGTATTAGTAGGAAAATGGATCAGAAGCAGAAGAGACACTGGCACTCAGGTATGGGACACAGGCATTGCAAGCAGCAGTTTGACCCACTGTGCCATAGCATTCACTCCAGTATTTATCTTTGTGATTATTTAATGTTTAATCCCTTGTCAGACATAGGCTTAAGGGAAAGGAAGAAGTCCACCACAGGGGTCTCAGCATCAAAGTGTTTGATTAGGTCTTGATGGTTGGTAAGTTCTTGCTGAAGGATCAACAGAATGAATGTTTACCCTTGTATGGTATATGTTTCATGCTTTTGAGGACCATGAAATTTTTCTTTTTAGCATATATTCAGAGTTCAAAACAACAACACATTGTAAAGCCATGGTAAGTATTTGTTAAATGAATGCAGAAATCACCGAGAATGAGGACATGTCATCAATAGAGCTGGACTCAGTACCAGTACATGAATATTATTACTGTTTGTCTTGTGCATTGGTGGAGTGATGAGTTGAACATGGATTCTTGGGGCTTGAAGAGACAGATGTGCGCTTACCTAACTCTCCATTGCTGAATCTGGCAGGGACAATTAACAAATAGGACTGCTCCTGTAATAAGGAAGTAAGAGGCTTGCTGTTGGAACAGACAGAAAGTGCTGTTTTGAAAGAATCTCATGCTAGGCAGTGGAAGATGGGAAATCACTTATTCTGTTATTTAGTACATACAACAACATGGCTGTACCTTAAAATTTCAGTTTGCACATCAGTGATGATATTTTTGATAAATTGATAGGATGGAGTTAAAACTTTTGTGGGTATAAATCCACACAAACACATTTGAAGTTTAACAGTTTATAAGCAAATATAAAATAGATCAGTGAGAAGGAAAGTCTTACTCTACCACAGCCATTTAATTACATTCTTTTGGTCTCATGTTTTTGCTAATAGTGGTGGTTTTGCAGAAAGTTATTCTACTATACCTAGAAGTTAAAA